CTCTCTCTCTCTCTCTCTCTCTCTCTCTCTCTCTCTCTCTCTCTCTCTCTCTCTCTCTCTCTCTCTCTCTCTCTCTCTCTCTCTCTCTAGCTCTTTCGAGAAAGAGAGCGGGAATGCATTTTCCCGCGATAGCGGGATGATGCATTCCTGTTTCGTTTTCCGAAACGAGACACACTCTCTCTCTCTCTCTCTCTCTCTCTCTCTCTCTCTCTCTCTCTCTCTCTCTCTCTCACACACTACTTCAACTGTTTTCCCGTTTTTTTTCTTTTGTTTGTGTATTTCATTTTTTTTTTCTTCTTTCTTTTTGATGGTGTGTCGCCCCTACAGAAGCGGGGCCCGGCGTTGGCGCTACGACCGGGCCTTCCCTTGGCCGACCAGCCTGAGGCTGCGGCGCGTATACGGGAAGGCCCGCGGCCGAACACTGAGCGAGGTACTGGCGGCTTAAAGAATTGAATAGAAAAATCGTGCAGCCTAAAATCTATCTCACAACAGCAGATACACAACTCAATCAGCATTCCAAAACGTCAATGCAAGACGGAAATCCCGCCCCCATGCTTTTCTTGACGAGTAATGAATGACTACCTTCTTTTGGAACAAAAATAAAATAAAATAATAACAACGCAAGAACGAAACCTTGGCCCGTCATTAATAGGTTTACACATTATTTCTTGGATTCATTCATTTGCGAATTGGCCTCCGGTTCGGCCCGGGCCGTAAGCTAAACTGGCTGATGCTGTCAGGATAACTCCGGATTGAATTGTGAGGTCCTTATGTTGATGAGAATATAATGCACTGTTTAAAAAAAAAAAAAAAAAAAAAAAACATCGGCCTGTCATGGACCGCAGTGGCGGGTCGTCTCAATTATGACGATCGCAATGGAATTTGATGCGGTGAATGCATGTGTGCGTGAGTGAGATGCTGCTCATTCCACTCACTCACCCAAAAAGAATGTTTGTTCCTTTCTCCTCAGCGTCCTCCCTATTCAATAATTAATGAGGCACGACCGTCGTCCCCCGAATACAACGCACCCTGATGATGAATGTAGCAAAGCTATATTTCGGGTCAGATACGGCCAAAATAAGGGTGCGTTGTGTTCGGGGGAAGACCGTAGGTAGTAGTACTCCGTCAACTCCGGCAAAACGTACTTCCCTCTCTTTTCTTTCTCCCTGTATCTCTCCCGATCCCATCGCGGACTAAGGGTCTCGTTAGACACTCCTAAAAGTTCCTGCTTTTAGGATTGCCTCTTGGTTGCACGCAATCCTAAATAGGATGCGGGAATCGAAAATGTGAAAACGGCGTTAGGACTCGTCCTAAAAGATTTAGGATTCCCCAACCAAATCGTCCTAAATTTTCCAGTAGCCGCGGACCTACTGAAAAATTTAGGATTCCAGCGTTTCACGGAGTCGTCGTGTCACGAGAATGGCACCGTCGACACGGAGGTGGTGGTCCAGGAGAGGTCCATCGGGTCGGTGGGCGGACATCGAAGGTTTTCTGTCGGTCGACAATGGCAACGACCCCCACCTGTAGCCGTTGGCGGGTGGGGTGGAGCGCGGTGGGCGAAGCGTGGCCTGGCTCACGGCCGTTGAGGACCGTTGGCTCGGGTGCGGGCAACGGAGGAGTCCCCAGACGTGCGCACGATGACACACAGAGGCTATCATGGGCGCCAACGGTCACTTTTTGAATCGCAGGCGGCATCGTTTGTCATCTTCGCTAGCGGTCGACGGCATATGAAGGCCCAGCGTCCTTGTCCACGGGCTTGTGAGGAGAAAGTTCAGCACGATGTCATGTGCAAGGTCGCCTGTCGACGTCGAATTCATCGCAGACATGCAGAGGAGATTGCCTCTGCTGCTTCTCGTTGTCGTCGTCTTCCTATTTGTCATCTTCCTCCACGTGTGCTTGTCGTGCCGGCCGTGAAAGCAACGTCGCAAGCGCAGGGCGTCAACGAAAGGCAGTGTGCAGGTACGCGTTGTTCCGCCCATGGCGGGCATGCAGGTACGCGCTGTTCCGCCTGCAGCTGAGGGCGGAAGAAGACCTCCGACGACGGAGCCTTCAAGGCGGTACGACCCCTCCATGTATAGCTTTGCCGTCGTGGGAGACGCCGCTGCCTCCCTCGGATGAGGAGCCGGAGGGGGATGAACTTCCAACGTTTCCTCTCGCCAACGGGTCGACGCAGCTGTTGTCGTAGACGGTGCTCGCAAGCGGGTCGGCAAGCAACAGACGAGGCGAGTACACGACACTCCTGCAGCAGGGATTGGGAGACGACGACGACGGGGGAGTTGATCTCCGGTTCGGATTGTCTTCTAGCGGAGGTAGGGAGGCGAGCCGCACGTTCATCATCGACGCCGATCCTTTACCGCGTGGCGTTCAACAATCCGGAAGTCGGCATACAGAGCAGTCCACACTTCGTGGCCATACGTCCGTTTGTGTCGGTGTCAGGCCATCGTCAGCAGGCCGGCAGCATGGATGGAGTGCACCGTCCGCCGATCGATTGACAAGCACCTGCCCCGAATGGAACGGAGTCGCAGTAGGGTCCCTGCGCATCGACGGTACACTTCATTCGATGCCCAAAAGCACAACGCTGACCCAACCCGACCCTAGGGACGATGGCACGTGCAGACCAACGGTGCGTCCAACACCCAGTGTGGAGAACATCACACGAGGAGTGTCGAACATGCGGGCACACAACGATGGTGGCGACGACGATGGTGGTGGTGGTGACGATGCAGACGGGCGATTCGGGGAAGACGTGGAGGCAGGGGACGACGACGACGACATTCCTATTCGGCCTTTGGGGAAGTTCGGCGGGAGGGGGAGAGGACGCAGCAGGGGTGCTGTTCGTGGTCGATCCGTTGGCTGTGGGGCCAGAGGTGGCGTCAACGATGACGGCGGGAAATCTGCGACGTACTGGTCCCCGGAAGAGCAAATCCAACTGGTGAGATGCAAGCGGGAGTAAGAGATGCACCTCGCCGGTCTCGGTCACAATTACGGGCGGATGCGGACCAAGGAGTGGAAGTGGGAAGATATTGCCAAGCGCATGGCGAACGCGGGGAGGCCGAAAGACGTGGACGACTGCATGAAGAAGTGGGACAATATCTTCCAAAACTACAAGAAGATACAGAGGTTTCAGAATGCGAGTGGCTGACCAGATTTCTTCCGGCTATCGAATGAAGAAAGGAAGGAACACAACTTCAAGTTCCGGATGGAGAGGGCAATATACAACGAGATCCACATAGGCATGGTTGGCAACCACACAATTTTCCCTCCCAACATCACCGACACTGGAAGTCCGGATGGGGTGCATCTGCCCAGGCGAGGAGTGGGTGTTGGGGAGTCTGTTGGTAGTGAGGGCGCTGGTGAAGGCCTTCCTGAAGAACGTTCTACTACGAGGGACTCCGACAACAACGCTGCCAGCGGGGCTGGAGGCGGTAAGCGGAAGAATGCGCGTCAACAAGCGTTGGAGTCAATTGCTGATATCATGGACCGCCATGGCGAACTGATGTCGTCGACGATCGAATCATCTAGCAAGCAGCAATGCAGCATATTCACGAGGCAATGCGACATACTAGAGCAGGAAGTTGCAGTCCAGGAAAGCGCACTGCGCGGCATCCGATGAGACGCAGAGGATGATGTGCCACGCGCTTATGGAGATCTCTGCCGCCATCCGTGGTCGGTCGGCGACGTAGGGTGCATGATGTGTGTGTGATAGTGATTGTCAGTGTGTGCGGGTGTCCTCCACACAGTTGTATGGGTAGTTGTGTTTAATTTTTTTTTCGTCATCATTTTGGACAGCAGTGCATCGTCTGCATTTTCATGGCTCGTCAACCAGACGGCCGCGTGTGGAATGGGGTTTGAGGTTCCCGGATTGTGGAGGCGGGGG